ATATATATAGAATAGTAACAAAATTATCAATGTAGCTGAAAGTAATCATACTGTACATACTGTTTTCATTATTAGCATACTCGATTATAATAACCAAATAAATCCATCTTAAATTATTTTGTTTCTAAAGCAATTTACAAAGCTCAGATAGTTTTATAGGACAGAAATAACTGAAAGTTATTTTATGAGAAACACCTAATTAAAAGAACAGAAAGCCTACTGGTGAGTTATTACAGTTTAGTAAAACAATAATTTGGATAATAATTGACAACTATTGAAATTCCTTAATATACTAACAGCTTCCATATGAAAGTTTTCCTTAAGATGCACAATTACCTATGGTTATTTGAGTACATGGAATTAAAAAACACTATACTTCTATATCTATAAGCAGCTTTACCATAACAAAAAAAATTCCATAGCTACCAAAGCAGCAAAGATGAATTCTTGGTTTGAACTAAAATCAACATACATAAAGAGTGGTGTGGGGAAAAAAAATCTTTGGGACAATCTGAAATTCCAAATTCTCATTCTTGCTCTGTTAGTGACTGAAACTGTAACCTTGAACAACAGCCTTGAGTGCTCAAAGCCTCAGTTTTCTAAAAAAGGAGAAAAAATAAAAGAAAAAAAAAAAAGAAAAGAAAATTTGCTTCACTTATTTTATAAAACTGACCCAATGTTCAAATGAGATTTATGTATTCTATGTGAATAAATTTTGAAAAATTTGCATTTTCACACCTATTTAAACATTCAGTTGTTCATACTGAATAGGAAGATCAAATTTTAGGCCCTAACCCTGGCTTTTATATCCATCTTCATCTGTATCATCTAGACTGCTGTCTCTAGCATGCATTCTTGATATACACCTAAGCATTAAGATACTAAAATACACCTCAAAGTCAACTATATTTTCAAATAGATTATAGTGGATTAGAAAGAAACAACATCTAGTATAATATGCATATGACTTTTTGTCTCTTAATGCAGAAATAGTGATTAGAAGCACTCATTTTGAATAAGTGGCAAAAATTTAAAGCATTCATTATGTGCCAAATTCAATTTAAGTGACTAAACTTGGAGATCAAGACTCATATTTTATACTTTTATTACATGTTTTATTTTTTCCCTGTTAAATAGTGATGTTCACAATTATAGAAAGATAATACAGATATATAAAAATGAATTGTCCATATGTACGATGTACACTGATATAACTATTAGGAATTTAGTAAAACATACCTTTTTCTATATTTTATCAAAAGTGAAATCATACTGTATATATCATTTTATAATTTAGATTGAAAATTCTTTATTATTATTTATTAAAATGTTTTCTAATTTTTCAGTAGTATAAGTAGCAGGAGAAGATAATTGGCTTAATTTAATTATAAATAAAAGTTGAAATCAGTAATAATATCCCAGAAAAAATTATTAGTGATGTGGAGGGAGCCATTAAGAATGTTGGTGCAGTTGGGGTGGAATGTCAACATGATTGGTTTTGGGATCCATCCAGGGGATTGTTGGAGCATACTTCTGGATGTGGCTGGTTAGGTCATCAAGGCATTAGGTCCTTCATTCCTTCCTCACTGGCACTGTTCACCCACTCTGTTTCCTGACTCCCTTGAACTAAGCATTTGCTTTGCTACAACCTTCGTCCATAATGTTTCTGCCCTGGAACTAGAGGACAATGGACTGAAGCCTCTTCATATATGAATGAATTATATTGCAGTAAAGTTTTTTTTTTAAATTTTATTTTATACATTAATAATTTGAACTTGTTTCTCTGATAAAAAGAGCTTTGCTCAATCAGAGACTGCATGATTTTTTTTTTTCTTTTTCTCAATCTTAAGTTTCTGAAAACTGGTGGTAAGAAAGAAATACAGAAATTACTCATTCAAAGAACTGAGTAATAGTAAAAGTAAGAAAAATCTCAATGTTAATACAATGCTTTGAGGGACAGAAAACACTTGCACAAAAGGTCTAGCAGCCAAAAAAAAATCAAATGACCTGTTCCCTTTCATAATTTTAAATTTAGAGAAGACATACAAGAAATAGGAATGTTCATGAATTCAGAGACATAATCACTAATTTATAATTCACACAAAATATTCAAGAAAAAACTTAAAAATACAGAAGTGATTAGGCAGTGATAACCTGCATTAGTAAGGGATAGACTTGTGTTTTCTGAATTGATGACATGTACTCTATCTGCCTGGGCAGGAAAGCAGAACCAGCCCACTGCCAGCCCAAGAATGCAGACTAATGACAGGATTATCCCAGACCTCAGCTTGACTGAGGAATCTAATAGTCACACATGTAGATGGCTACACAACTCCTACTGAGCATTTGTTTCTGCCCAATCCAACTGCTGCCTAGGCAGTTGCATCAATTTATATTTATAGTTTTTAACTTGGGAAGAAATACAGAATATGTACATTTTCAGCCATTGAAGCAAAATTTATGAATACTGAGAAATGTGAGTCTTGAGATTCAAAAAGGATAATTGGGATCATTTACAAAGGGCAAAGAATAAAATGGGTAACAGACACCAGACAAGAAAGTGTTATTTTTAAAATTTTGAATAAAAAGCCTAATGTTTTACATATAAGTGAGTTATTTACATGTAAAATGAATATATAAATAAATTGGTAGGTATTTAATTGCTTAAAGAGAATGCTACACAAAATTTCTTAAAAGTTCTCTTGGTATAGTTTATCTTAGTGAGAAAGAAAGAAATATATGAGCAAACAACTAGAAATAAAAAGGAAAATATATTTAAATATGTCATAATAAACAATATCAGTATCAAAAATTGCAGGTATTAATTTTGTTTGAGTGGCACAGTTGAAGAATATGTATCAATAAGCTCTAAACAGTGCTAGAGAAAAATAATTACCACCATCATGATAAATGGCCCTAAAGCCTCAGGTGTTCAGAACGTGCCTGGATCACTGGGTGCTGCACTCAGTGCATTCATCTAGTGGTGAGTTCAGAGGCTGCACATACTGCTAGAAAGTGGCCCAATGGTCAGAAGGTCAGAAGAGGCAAGTTCTTCAGGATGTTCCCTGGGGTGTGTAGCTTCCTCTCTAGCTCTAGACTTCATGGGCTTTCTGGCTGCCATGAGGTGAGCAACTTTCTCCATGCAGTTTCTGCCTCGCAGCTAGCCGACTATGGACTGAAATTTCTAAAAAGCATGAGCGCAAATAAACCCGTCCTCCAAAGGTCCTGGGTGTTGTGTCTCATCAGTGAGAAAAGTGACTAAGACAATAAATAAGTGAAGGATACTATTGAGAAACTTAAAAATAGAATATGAACTACTAAATTTAGTATACAAAAATTAATTTATATTCCAGAAACTGGGAAAAGAATAGTAATTTCTGTCAGTGTAAACACCAATCAAATGACAGATTTTACAGGGTGGACATAGGCATAAAGCAGTACAGAGAGAAGTTGCAAATAAGAGAGTGAAAGTCTGTGCTGCCAGGCTTTAATTTTACAAATTAAAACAAAGTAGGGGTAGATAGTTTTAAACCCTGCAAAACAAAATGTAAAGTTTTAAAAATTCACAAAAAAGGAGATAGAAATTTGGAAAAAAAAAATAACAAGACACAATGATTGTGAACAGACATAGGATTAATTGCTATCAAGGAGCAAACGAAAAACTGAGTTGAAATACATGTATGTTACCTACACATTTCCATGTGTTTGCAGGTTTTCAAGTTCTTTGACTATTTCTTGTCCCCTTTGCCTATCTGTGTGTACTACTTATATTCACTTTTTTATGGTTTCACTTTTAGCCCTATTTGAAACTATCTTAAACAGATGGAGAGAAAAAGAGTATTGGATTCAAACAGTCCAGGTTTTCTGTTTGACAGAAGTTTTGTACTAACATTATTTGAAACAAGGGCCCAAAGGAAATCACAGAATTTGCTGTAACTTTTGTTTACTCCTTCTGTCTCTTTTCCAATGTCTTCTCAAGTAATGGAAGACAGACCCATACATTTCCTCATGTTCTAAGCTTTTACTGAAATCTGACATCTAGAATAGCAAAAAGGCAATTACACAAAAGTTAAACACACACAAAAATATGGTATTTCCTCTAAAGGCCAGCAGAATGCATAGAACCCATGAGTTATAATTTAGTTATTTTCAGAATAAAGAAAAAAGTTATAGAAAGACTCAAGTATATCTACATTCTAGGTAGAATGTATTTCTATATTCCCTGCTTTGCTTGAAGAAAAGCACATTCTGAAAACAGCAACATATAATTAGCCAAATAATTGTATTTTTAAAAAGAATGAAATATTTCATTTCTAGAAGTTTTTAATCTTGTACCTTAAACATTGTACCATAAATAAAATAACAAGCATACAATTAAATTAGTATGCTTCAGAATTCTTTGGTTACTCATTAGTCACAATCTGAATTTTTCCTGTTTGGGGGTATTTTTTTCAGAAACTATTTTATACATTATTTTAGAATTCTAGTATCACATTCACATGTATAAATGATTTATTTCACTGTACTTTTTCTAAACTGGTGATGAAGGAATATTCACTATATTTTATACTTCTCTACAATTAAAACCACAACTATGTAATTAAAATGCAACTCATCTCCGCCCACCTTTTATAGTAAACTTTGTAAACAATGATAGATGTGAACTTAGCTAAGGACCTTGGATATTCTAAGAACTAAATATAGGTGTTTTATTTCTCCCACCATACTTACATCTTAAATTCTTTTAGCTCCTATCTGTCAGGGGAAGGCTGCCAGGTGAGCAGTCTGTCACTCTTGCCTAGGCTAATAGATTCTCCAGTGGCTTTTGTTACAGCTCATATCATACCATTAAAACTATTGAAAATGGCTTAACATATGTAGCCGAACCTTGTCAACTCTAGATAATCAGAGTCTGTGTGTCTTCACAAGCAGATGCAGATTAGAGAAGCAATAGAAATATGCAAATCGTAGTGACCCCTTTTCAGCATCATTGTTCCTACCTCTAATGGCCCTCTCAGAAAGTCCGCTTGTTCAGCTCCCACTTCCAGGGCTACATCAACAGAAGCAAAGGGTCGGCTGGCCATCTGCTGTCTTTCTCGGAGCAGTTGCTGGATGGGGTTAAAAATGACGTGTTAAAATAGGCTTAAAAGCACATTAAACCCAACAATACCTGATTTTATTTTTGAATAGAACTGAAAATTTAGGAATCATTTTATACACATATACATATCTAGAGAGCTGAGGATAAAAATAACCTTTCCCCATGGCCTCTATTTCCATAGAGGCATTAAATGTTTAGTGTATACAAATAACTTTCCCTAACCTCTCCCCTCACTATTCCCACAGGCCTAAGAAACGTACTCAAAGGCACTTTGTAAATCTCACGTGATAGGTGCTACTTAAATAAAAAGTGCTATTATGATCATGGCTATGCCAATTTTACTTTACAAAAGAAAATAGATAAAAATGATTCAGAATGATAACGAAAATTTGTCAAAATGCATATGCAGAGATTATCTGCCAAGGCTAAGCTTTGCATGTTGTCAGGATACCTTATGCATTGCTATGGAAGCAGCAGGAATTTATAGTGTTTGCATCTTCATTCAAAAACTCTATGCTCATTATTTAAAATGAGAAGTGACTAATGAGCTTCAGAAATTTTGTTTCCCAAATTTCTAAAGCACCCCTAGCTATTTGTACTTTATCCTTATGCCTAATCTGGAATTTGCCCAATCTAAAACCAATAAAGGAACAAGGCCTAACATACTACCAAACTAATTTATATTTCTGCCTCTCTTTGTAATTATAATATTCATTAAGTCATGATAAGAAAAAATTGATGAGCAGCCCTAGATATTACAAATCTTGTCTTCTCATTCTATTCAGCTAATAAAATTATTATTAAATATTAAAAGATCATGAGCAATCCAATTAAATACTCTTTCAAATGAGAAGAAAATCATATTGAAGAAGGCAGAATCCTTGAACACAATGAATGGCTTCATTGTTTATAGAGTTTTGAGAAACTCACTAGCATGAACTTAAAACCTTAACTATCGGTCTTTGAAAGTACATGTATGAAGCACTGTGATGCATGATTCACACAATTTCCTTGTAAATGAAAAAGGAACACAAATCAACACCTAATGGCAGTTTATTATTTAACACTTTTAACACATGTGACACAGCAGTGACAGTGTTCATCAGGTAAAGATCTAAACCATAAATTAAAACCTTGCTCTATCATTATTAAAAATGAACATTCATACAATAATGTAGAATACAAGAAATACAATTGTTAATGACAGTTCTAAGAAACAAAATTTTTCTAGAATTAGTGAATTCATATTAAAAATACACAAAGTGAAAACTGTGATGTACCTTACCAAATTACTCATTTCAATATAAATTCAAAGTTATATTAGTAAAAATGCAATATATCAAACTAATAGAATTTTTACTGTGCCTCTCTCTTTGTCTTTGGTAGAAAACCATACACACCAACATGTACATGTATCCCTTCATTTCTCAAAATATGCAATCTGCCACTCCCATGAAATACACAAGTAGCATGGAGAAAATGTAAATTTTAGTTTGTGCTCAGGCATAACTTTTTAAAGATTTTCCTTGACAATTTTCTTTAATAACATTAACTCTTCCCAATTACAAATGATATTTGATATAATTACTATTTAAAGACAAGTAACATGTTTTTTCATCTTATCTTCTCTATACCCCTAAAAGTAAGATATGCAAAATAAATGAGTATTCACTATTCCAAATCTTAATACAAATTGATAAATACTCCAAATTTACTATTTTGGTAAATATTTAGTTCCCTGGAATATACTTAAAGAAAAACCAATGACAGATAGTTTTGTTCAACCTTTTTGCTTATAAAATGCAAAAGTGTAGTTAAAGGATCCAGTTTTTCTATTGAGCTTTGAGTTTTTAGCACATATAAAGAACTAAATGCTTCCTGTAGTACTGTGTGCAGAGAAGAAATCATTGTTCTTACCCAGACCTTACTATAGTTTATAAGACATGAAATGTAACGAAAAGAACTGGAGTATAAAATAGATTATCAGTAAGAGTGCAAATAGGGTTCTAGAAAAAAAGGAAAAAAAATATTTGAGGTCATTCTTACTGGCACTTGGAGAAGTAGGAAAATGTTTTTACTATGAATCTTAGGGAGTGGGAAGCACCTTCCCTGAAACACTTTTGCTTTGCTCTAATGGCTCCAAAACAGGAAATGGAAGAAATTGAAGTTATTTTTGCTAATAATTTCTGGCTCTCCTCTGTATCCATCAATTTCCCTCCTTCTTGCCAATTTGTGTCTGGCATACATTTCCAACATTTTTCCAGAAGAAAAGGCAATCTCAACAATATGCTTATAATTTAAATTCTGTCAAAATTTCGAAAGGATATGCAAAATTAGAAGGCAGTTATTGGCATGCAACATAATAAGAAAGATATTATCTGTTTGAGTTTAATCAATGACTTAGAATGCTAAGTCTCAATTTTCTTATCTGTAAAGTGGAGATAATGAGGGTTTGGGATTTAGCTCAGTGGCATAAATGTCCACCTGGCAAGTGTGAGGTTGTGAGTTTGATCCCCAGTACCCCCCCCAAAAAAAACCCAAAAAACAAAGAACGGCAGGGGGCGGATAATAAAAGTACCCTTCTTAACAACCCTTCACTCCTGTACACTGACAAAGTCTTTAAGTCTCAGTTTTTTTCTACCTAGTAGTCTTTGGACCACAATCAAATTACTCAAACCTTCTGCATGCTCATTTTTTTTAATAAAGTAGGGGAAGAAAGTTACTGTATTTTAACTATATTTCTGCTGTTAATTTCTAGTTTCATTCCAACATGTTGTAAGAGCTTGCTTTGAAGCATTTACATTTCTTTGGCTATGTTAAGCTCTTTACTGTTGGTATGAGCATGGTCTATTTTGAGTTTAAAACGTTAATTAATTAATTAATTAATTCCCAGACTAGGGAAATCTATGAAGATAGATGGTAGTTAAGTGGTTGCCTCGAGATTTAGAGGGAAGGAATCGAGAGATTGTAGCTAGTGAGTAGAGTGCTTTGTTTGGGGATAACAAAAATAATCTAAATTTGATTATGATCATGGTTCTATAACTGTCAACATGCTAAAATCTACTGAATAATACAGTTTAAATTTGTAAATTTTCTAGTATGCAAAATGTAGCTCAATAAAACTGTTATTAATAAATAAGTAAAATGATAATAGCAATAATATTCAGATTGTATGTTTCAGACAAAGAACTGATGGACTTGGACCATTCAGCACAGGGGCTGACACATTGTAAGCATTTAACATCTGTTCATTGGTATATTCTGTTGAATTTTCAATCACAAATTTTTGTCTTTGAAGACAGCACACTAATTGCGACAAGTTCATTTTTTTTTTTAACCACTGGTGACACATTTTCTCTTTACTAGTCTCCATTTTACCAAATGTTACAAATTTACTAGACAGTTGGAAAATGTCACTATTGTAATAGCACATACTGCGATTTAAAATGCTTTCTGGCATTTGCTACTGAGCATGATTAAAACCTCAACCTGAAAACTAGAAGAAAATATTTAGCACTTTTCCATGAAATTCTGTAAATTAATTTATTTTCTGTGATTATGTTCTTTATATAATGTAGTTTAACATTTGCACATTGCTGAAGAAAATACTAGCAGATGTACCCATTTTATATCTAATCTGCTACTGTTCTGTTCAGCACAACAAAGCCAAGAGAACACATTTATCATACTGCAATAGATTATTATCATTCTGTCATGAGCATTTCTGTGAATTAATTTTAAAAATAAACATTTTCCTAGTATCATATTTGTTGTCCAAGATAACTATCTTATTAATCTAAATCTCTTATAAAACATATGAAATTAATATGAAAATCCACATTTAAATTTGACAATGAAAGTTATTCACTTAAATTTGACATAGTCATTAATTCCATATATATTGCATATATATGAGTACAGAAAATTCTTCCATTAAAAATATCTAATTCAAATATTGATTCATTTTCCAAGTTTCTATTAGCTACCTTCTAAACTCCAGTACATAATACAACTCTCTAAATTTAAGGGTAATAATCTCTAAAAAACACACAGAAGAAAACTTTGCCCCCTCCCACTTGTCCTTTTACCTCCAGTATCACTCTGTTATGTTTAGATTTTTTTCTATGTCTTCCTTCACCTTCAATATCCTTCTTTACCCTATATTTGAAATGATTACCTCCCTTGTGAAGTGTATGTTATATTAATATGGTACTATTTATTTATGTCATCATGTTTTTCTGATACCACTATAGGTAGAAACAAAAACAAAAACTATTTCACCTCCCTTAGTTGACATTCAATAGTATTTAATGAATAAATAATGAATCACTCATGAATAAATTGAAGCCTTAATGTCTGCTTCATATGAATATAAGTAAAGGCATGCTACCCTAAAATTGATTTTAATTATGATTAAACTTTAAAAACTATGCTATATCCCTTGATATTACAGAATTTATATCTTATTCTCCAAGAAGGCAATTATTTCTTAAAGTAGGTCAGTTTCGTGGACTTGTTCAAATCTACATCATTTCATATTGCTCCCTGGTTACCTTATTGCAATTCTACAAAAGTTATGGAAAATGCTCCTAAACCATTAAAATGCACTAACATTTCTTATATAAATTATATTCCTAAGATTTGGGAAATACATAAAAGAAGTAATTGAAATGTTATGGCATTGATCTTGACTTTATAAAACAAAGTGGATGAGTTAGAGATTAAACAACAATTCATGAAATACAGTATTTCTGTTATAAATATAAATATTGTTAATATAGGGTAAAACAAGTAGTTTTGGTTTTCTGATGGTAGGATAATATGAAGTAATAAAGAGAAATACATGTATGTTGCATCATCATTGAATTAGGAAAATATATTTTACCATTTCATATAATACCTACAAGAAATATCAGGAAACTTTTTCATCTTTCAGTTTAATGTTGGTTGTTCTAAATATGATGTTAGTGTCTATGGAAGGAGATTAGCAAATCACCTTTTTCTCAG